ATTAAGAGCTCACAGCAATCTCCATAGCTGTCACACCTCCCAGGGAAGGAGTAGAGGATGAAAAAGATGGCATTTCTTTGTTGGAATGGGTCTAAGGTGGCTATAGCAGCCTTAGCCCTTTCTAAACTAAAAAACTCTTGATGCAACTGCATCAACCTTAAAGACTCCCTTAACTTCATCATTAACATTAATAGTTTAACATAATTCTAACAAATATTTCTATACATAGTTATAAGTCTCTTAATCTTACAACTTAAAGCAAACTCAATAGAACCACTTGAATCTCTTGCCAACAAAACATAGGATAAACTTCTGATGTATTCACATCAAACTTAAACATTTCCCTATCTTCACCAAACCATGGTGCATCAATATCAATAGGTTAACGTTACTATATATAATTATAATTCCTACAAACCTACTCTCTTTCTTACAAACCCACATTAAAAAACAATTTCTTAATAGCACTATACAAAACATAACATTAATTTACTCAAGTAACACTAAAATATTTTTTAAGTTAAATAGATTGAGGATATTAACACTCCCCCTTTTCTTTATAATTTTTTTTAGGAAAAAAAACCCTCAAATTTCTCTATTTAAACAGTTCCATTTTAAGCAGTTCCATTTTTACATAAATAGTTCCATAAATCAGCATTGATAGAGTCTATATACATAAGTAAATTCAAAATTGTCCCATTGCAGTGAAATTATTCCTGTTCAATTCATTTCCCAAAATTCAAATAATAAATTCTGGTACCAGCCTTCCAAATACGAAGAAACCCATAACCAAAACCTTTTTGTAGTTTTATCTCATTTTTTTATTAAGTTCAAAAAGTTCAAATAAATTCTGGTACTAGATTTCCACTTCCAAATATGAAGAAATGTTCCTCACAACCAAAAACTTTTTGCAGTTAACAATTTTAGTTCAAACAAGTATCTCTGCAACTTTCGTTCTCAGGTCAGAGACATTTTTAGTGATAGCAGCATTTTATGGCACTTTTTCCTTCACGATGAAAGCTATTAGTTCCATAAGAACTGGATGGTGCAAAGTCCTCTCAAAAAAGACTTTCTTTTAGCCATCAAACAGAAAAATGCAATGTTTTTGCTGCTAGCTCAGGTCTTTCTGCACTGTGTTGATGTTCCATAGGTCTCAGCTGTGGGTGCCTGGCTGTGGTTGTTATGCTGGCTCCGGCATCTGCCATTCTTAGCAGCTTCTGGAGCTTCTGAAACTGCTCAGACTGCCAGCTTGCAGTCTACTATGGACACTGTCTTCTGCGTCCCAGCTTCCTTCACCATATACATTAAGCATAGGTTCACATTCAACATTTACACTTTTTCACAAACTCACATTCAACATATTCTTATTTATACTTCTTACAAGTTTATTGCTACATGTCTTAAAGAAATTCTGAAGATCTATTTTACAAACTTATATTCGTAAGAAAATTCTATAGGGCCAGGTGGCGGTGCATGCCTTTAATCCCAGCACTTGGGAGGCAGAGCCAGGCGGATCTCTGTGAGTTCAAAGCCAGCCTGGGCTACATAGTGAGTTCCAGGACAGGCCCCAAAGCTACACAGAGAAACCCTATCTCGAAAAACAAAAACAAAAAAACAAAAACAAAAACAACAAAAAAAGAAAACTCTATAGGACTACCTTAACAAAGATACTTCTTTTTTTCTTTTTTAAACTTATTTTGTCTTTTTCTTTTTTTTTAACTTTCATTTATTTATTATGTAAACAGTGAGTGAGTGGCCTGCAGGCCAGAAAGGGCACCAGATCTCATTGTAGATGGTTGAGAGCCACCATGTGGTTGCTGGGAATTGAACTCAGAACCACTGGAAGAACAACAGCCAGTGCTCTTAACCTCTGAGCCATCTCTCCAGCCTCTGCAAAGATACTTCTTATTCTTAACTAACTTATACTAGGAAGAATCTCTTAGCAAACTCTCCATAGAGCTACCCTTAGCAAATATCTAACTTAGCAAACATCTAAAAGAGATTTTTTAACACCTAGCAAATATCTAACATAGCAAACACTTAAAAGATTTCTTAACATTTAGAAGAGATGTTACATTATCTTCCAATAAGACAGAGAGTAATTTTCTTTGAATTTCATTTCAAACCCAAAAAGAGAACAAGAAGAAAAAACTTTGTAAGGAACATTCTGTTTCTGAATTGCTCAGCTAGTCATTCCATAACAGTCAGTTTCCCATCATGAGAAGATAATTGTCTAAGTTGGAGTGGGGTTCCAGACTGGCATCATTCAGCAGGTTCCCCTGCTAGACTATTTGCCTTGAAAGCTTAATGTATTTCTAAGTGACTTCATTGCCCTTAACTCTTTGTCATCCAGCTACTGTAAAAAAAAAAACATTCTGTGTAGGCAATATAAGGCATTTTCCCAAAGGAGCCAAAAGTGGCAAAGCTCTGAGCTCCGTTTCCTTACAATTCTTTCTTCTTTCTTAATTTTTCAGAAGCTGTATTTTAAGTTTACTATGAACAACTTCTAATGCTATCCATGTTTCTTTGGAATCTTAAACTTTTTTTGTTTTAAGTATCTCCTGTGAGGGAAGCTGTTTGTTTGCTCTCAGCTTTTTGGGAAGTAAATCTAAGCTTTTCAGCAATGTTTAGGAAAAAATTTTCATTTCGAGTTAAAAAAACCATTTTTCCTGGGTGTTGGCGTTTTTTGGCGGAAAACTTCCTTTTCCTGGATTGCTTTTTTTTTTTTTCGGCTTGTTTTTTGGGGTTCCTTTTTGGTTTTTTTCCCTTATTTTTTTTCGGTTTTGGGGTTCACTTTTTGGTTCCTTTTTACCAGGCTTGCTTTCTATTGAAAATCAAGAGTAAATGAGCTTTCCTCTTCACTATGGGAGGTTTCTTGAGTCAAAAGAGTTCTGTTCTCCCTGAGCTGGCCTTAAGCATTTCTCTTTCATCGATATTGGCCCGGGATCAGAAGCGCACATAGAGGCGGGCATCCCTGATACCAAAATTTCCTCAGGGCTTGTTCAGGAACGAAAGCACTTAAAGCAAAACTTTCCTACAGCTCCTTCAGGGAGACTTTCCCTGGCAGACCTTTATCTAGTCCTGCTTGTTCCTTCCTCCCAGCTGCAGAGCTTCAGACGCCTCAGGCTGCAGCTCTGTTCCTCTGCTAGCTGCTCCTGGAGAGAGGTCAAACTCTAGCAGCTTTCCCCAGGTCCTGGACCTTCCAGGGAGGAATCTGTCCCTTCTCCATTTCTGTTTTCAGGGTCTGTGTGGTTTGTGCTCATAAATCAAGCTTCTACTTTTTTTTTTTTTTTTTTTTAAATCAAGAGAGGTGTTTGTTATCCCTAAACTCACATGAGGACAGGTGTATTTTCCTAATCAGGCCTTTCACCTGACCCAGTCCCCAAACTGTTGCATGCATCCCTTTGTTCTGTGGCTTATTGCTGGAAGCAACAACCCTTCAGGGCTTTACTCCCTCTCCTCACCAGGAGTCAGTGTGGGAAACCTAAAGTGCTTGAAACAAAGCTTTTTTTCAGAGAGATTTCTTTTTGCAGCCATGGATGCTGCATAGCCCCACCTACCAACTCGGGGCTCGCAGTCAGGCGGGTGACTGTGCCATTCCCGCTGGCTTTGGCTTTGCCTGTATGCTAGTAGTTTTTTCCCGGTTCTTGCACCTTTCTGCCTCAGCTCCACCACGCTCGAGGAAGCTGTTCACAACTGCAGGAACCCTAGTATCCCCGGAATGCACTCAAACTCGGGGGTGCTGGCTAGTCACTTCTCAGTTGTTGGTTAGAAGCAAGGATACAATGCTAACAGAGAGGGTTTGCATTGCTTCAGGGGATCTTTGCATTAGGGCGATTCTGAGCGACCTTTTCATCCTGATAGACACCCACCCAGAAACAAAGTCCCTGATGCCTCCCTCAGTTGCACCTGCAGCTGAGAGCCTTGGCTTTACTGTGTCTGTAGTGCCAGCAGTTTCCTGCCCCATACTGCTCTCTGTGGCTCCCTGCCTGCACTTTCCCGAGTTCTATGGCTAGGTTCTAGTGACGGAGGGAATTTCTATTGGCTTGGAGAGACAGAGCTTAGAAGAGAGGTTTTGCCCTGTTCCAAGAGGGCTTTCTCTGAAAAATAAAGAAGGTAGAGCAAACTACAGGTGAATTCCTATATTCATCCAGGTGAATCTAATTTTGCCCTTACAGAAAGAGAAGCTGAGAAAGTAAATTCTGAAAGTCTTTTCCAAGAAAGAAAGATTAAGGGTTTTTTGTTTGTTTGTTTGTTTGTTTGTTTGTTTCGAGACAGGGTTTCTCTGTGTACTTTTGGTGCCTGTCCTGGATCTTGCTCTGTAGACTAGGCTGGCCTTGAACTCACAGAGATCCGCCTGGCTCTGCCTCCTGAGTGTTGGGATTAAAGGTGTGTGCCACCACTGCCTGAAAGTTTAAGTTTTTTTCTTTTCTTAGTTCCTGTTCAGTGGTGCCATCTGTGGGGGACTGTCCCTCACCCCCACATTTCACCAGAGTACTCTTGAATAGGATAGAGGGGAGAGAAACAGAAAATACAGGATAGCTTCTAGAGGGCCTTGATCCCAATGCATCAGTCCCTGACTGTCTCTGCCCTAGGCTATTATTAAAAGGAATGCCAAGGGTTGGAGCAAAAGACTTTTCCGCAGCACAACCAAGTACAGACCATCTCAGACACCTGTCCTCAGGCCTGTGGTCCAATCATCCTTTCTATGCAGACCTGCTGGGTAAAGCCACTAGGAACATGAAAATGGGCTCCAACAGGATGGGATATTTCTTAGCTGGCTGGAGCTCCAGGCAGCTGAGAGAGGTCCACAGGGCTGCTTTGCTAGGCTGGGGTCACATGACCTGCTGGCCAGGTGGAAGATTGCCATTTTCCTACCACTTCCACAAGTCCTACCTACTCTGTTCTCTCCCCCAGGCCTTTCTTGTGGGTCTCAGGCTGCATTCTTGCCCCAGGGACCTTACTTTACCCTCTCAATCCATTTTTTTTTTTTTTTGCAGCCGTGGGTGGGGCCTGTGCTTGGATGACCCTCCAGCCAAGGATGTCATTGACTTCCCCTCGGTGCTGCCCGGTGTCCTGTATGATGTGAACCACCAGTGCCGCCTTCAGTATGGGGCTTACTCAGTCTTCTGTGAGGACATGGACGTGAGTATGGGTATGGGAGGCACAGGCGGTGGCCCTCACCAGCCTGAGAATGCCAGGCTCTGAGAAACTCTGCCTGGCTTGGGCTGGGCTCTCAGGGGCATGGTGTTACCTAATGTGACCTGTGGCAGAGGTCTGGCTTTGGGTGACCACAGGCCCAGATCTGGATTCTGTATCAACTGCTAGGAGACTTTGGACAAGTCCCTCAGACCTCTGGATTGGGCTTTGATGAGAAAAAAAAAAATCTGCTTTTCAGGGTCCTACAGTGGATCCTGTACAGACATGACATAAGCTTCTACCTTGAGTGTTTCAGGAGGTGTACCTGGGGGCTGGAAGAGGTGACCCGCTGGAGACAGCTCTTAGCATCAATGCAGCCTAGAGGGTGGCCCCTCCCAAGGACCCCATGATATCATGTGGCTTAGGGGAGAGGCCAGAGGAGAAGCAGACAGAGGAGCCTCTCACTTGCACACTCACATGATATACTGTCCCTATGGAAAGTGTCTCAGGAGTTCTTGGGGGACACTAGGGGCAGAGTTATGAGGGTAATGTCCATGCCTCTTTGCAGAACGTCTGCCACACGCTGTGGTGCTCTGTGGGGACCACCTGTCACTCCAAGCTGGATGCAGCTGTGGATGGTACAAGATGTGGGAATAACAAGGTAGGTGGGAAACCTCAACCCTGGCTGAATCTGGGGGGAGGGGAGGCTGCCTTCCCTCTGACCATGCCTAGCCAGACTTTCCCGGGGTCAACATTAGCTTGTCATCCTGTGCTGTTCTCCGTTGACCCTCCGCTTTCTCTGGCCCAAATTGCCATCACGAAATGGGAGCATGAGTCTCACTTTCAGCTTTATCTTATTATTCATTCAGCTTCACCGTGGTGTCCGGGTTGTGGGTGACCATAAAGACTATCTTACACCTTCCACCCTCCTGTCTTTTGGGACTGTCTTGTCCACTTGGCTCTCACTGCGGTGAGGATGACTGATAGGTGTCGGGGTTGGGTTGCTCTGCCTCCATCTGTCTCAGTAGTGGTGTCTCAATGGAGAGTGCGTCCCTGAGGGCTTCCAGCCCGAGGCGGTGGACGGTGGCTGGTCCGGCTGGAGTGCCTGGTCTGTCTGCTCGAGGAGCTGTGGCGTGGGTGTACGGAGTGCTGAACGACAGTGCACACAGCCTGTGTGAGTGCGGGGCCCAGGCTGGGATAAAGGACCCGAACGGAGGGAGCCAGCTGATCGCAGAGACTACCTCTGTTCCAGCATCCGGTTCTCGAAAGTATCCCTAGAAAGACCAAGTCCAGTGTCTAAGTCACCATGGGCCACTTCCAGGGAGTGCTCTGGAAGCATTTCCCCAGAGCTGACTCCATTGCAGAGAGGGGCGTGCTCTCTAAGAGCCTGGGGAGATGCACCAGAGACCTCGCAGCAAAGGCAGAGGCTGCGAGGAGGAGGGGGCAGAGGCAAATGCTTGGAATCTGGGCCCTGGAATGCTCATGGTTCAGGGCCTCCATCTTTACACAAGGACCTTCCTTCCTCATTGCTCCTCTGGACCTCAGTGTGCTAGACTCTGTAATGGGGTGCCAGCAGAGCCCTCCTAGTTAAGTTGCCATTGGGTACACTCAGGCAACATGGGTAAAGTGCTGGACCCTCCCAGTGCTGTGGGAAATGCCCAGCACAAGCTGCTTCAGGCCTCCGAGGAGACTAGCAGCATGGTGGGGTGGCTGTGGCCTGGGGTGAGCTTTCTCATCCTAAGGGGACGGTGGAGACTCAACGAGACAATGAGCTGCCTGGCTCCCTTGGACAATCTTCTTTGCTTGGCTGCCAAGGAGGTAGAATTCACAACCAGTTCCATCTCAGGGCTGGTGCTTCACCAAGCCTGTGGTCTCTACCCCTCCGCGTGTCTCCTCCTCCTGCTCAGCCAGAGTGAGGCTGGCCTGGCTTAGATGCAGGTTAGATGCCAAGCCAAGGCAGCATCTCACTTCGACCTGGCCCAGGGTGCTGCCCCCAGGAACAACTCTTAATGACATAGGGCTGGCCTATCAGCTCACCGCATCCTCCAGCCCCTCAGCACCCCCCCCCTCCTTAGAGGCAGTCCAACTCCATTTTAGAGATGAGAAAACTGAGGCCTAAAGGATGGCACAACATTTGCCCATGGTCGTACAGCGGGTCTGGGCTGCACTCAGGGCTCTTGCTGCCACTCTGCCGTAGATCCTTGGAGACAGGAAGGATGTGTGGGCCAGAGAGTGGCAGCAGCCCCTGAGGGCAGGGCAGCATGACTGAGGACCGCGGGGGGACTCTGGGTGCAGAGGATGCAGATGTTGCTTGGCATTGGGTACTAATAGCATGCTCACGGCCCCATGGCTTTCCTCGTAGGCCCAAGCACAGAGGCAAGTACTGTGTGGGGGAGCGGAAGCGGTTCCGGCTCTGCAACCTGCCCGCCTGCCCTGCTGGCCGCCCCTCTTTCCGCCAAACCCAGTGTAGCCACTTTGATGCCATGCTCTACAAGGGCCAACTGCACACATGGGTGCCTGTGGTCAACGATGGTGAGTCCTGCTACCCGTGTGGACGCTGAGGCCCAGGGGTGGGCGACGTATGGGCCCCAGTGACATAGGCCCACCTATAGAGGTCCAGATACCACCCCCAGCTCTTGGCTGCCCCCTGCTGTTGTTTGGGGTAGCTATTCATTCCCAGCTTCTCAGTCTGCAGTACTTTGCAGGTAGCTATCAGTCCCGCCAGATGCCCTTGGCCTACTACTGATGTGTGTTACGGAGGATGAGGGAGTTTTCCTGAGGGCTGGCCTCTGTGACGCTTGCTCTTTTGCTTTCGCTCCACGAGTCCTCCCCTTGTCCCCTCAGAGAACCCCTGTGAGCTGCACTGCCGGCCCTCCAAACACTCCAATACAGAGAAGCTCAGGGATGCTGTGGTGGATGGCACCCCTTGCTACCAAGGTCGGGTCAGCCGTGACATCTGCATCAATGGCATCTGTAAGGTGTGTGGGACAGTAAGAGGCTTCCTAGCCTCACTGGCAGGCCGTGGATCCACCTCTAGGTCTTTCCTGGCTTTCTCCAGGCTGCGTGCCAGCCCCTGCCCTTGTCCCCTGACTCTAAGACAAAGCCTCTATGCCCCGCTGTCTCTGGCATGGGACACCCCAAACTTGGCTCCATATTCTCAGCCACTACCATCTTATCCCTTGGTCTCCGTCAGCTGCCGACTGCTCATCCTAGCGTGCTTGCCCTTATAGCCCAGCCATGAAACCAGAGCTTGGATGGATGCAGGCAACTGCCTCCGCTCTGATAGGAAGGGGCTGACAAGGTGGTCCTGGTGCTGTGCCAGGCTCTGGGCCTGCAGAAAGCACTGTGTTTGGAAACAGTTCTTCTGATTTCTAGTACTGGCTGCTCTTTCATGCCCAGTGCCCAGCCACCTTCTTTACCCTACATCTTGCCTTTAAAGCTACTATGCTAAAGACCTGGGTTTTGGAGAGGCCTAGGAAAGAGGTGCTAATCCAGTGTCTTTGATATTGAATCTTATTTCTGGAAAATTCCATCATGTGCCAGACTCCATGCTTATCTGTGGCCTTATTTGAGAGAGACTTCCTGCCTTTTGTCTTATGTGATGTTCTTAACACTCTTTTAAGGCATGAACTGATGTCCCCCTTTTCCATCAGGGGAAGAGAAGCTCATGTGTGTCAGGCAGGATGACTGCGATAGGACTGGACCCAAGCAAGGGCTCTTGACCTCCACCTAGGGTCTCTCTTCTGGACCCTGGTGGATACCCGGAGGGGGCCGGCAGCCAGCACAAAGGGCCTCCTCTCTGTTTCAGAATGTGGGCTGCGACTTTGAGATTGACTCTGGTGCCATGGAGGACCGCTGTGGTGTATGCCAGGGCAATGGCTCTACTTGCCACACCGTGAGCAGGACCTTCGAGGAGGCTGAGGGCCTGGGTATGGTTGGGACTGCTGGGCTGCCAATGGGTGCCTATAATTCTATTCCCTGCCCTCATGGTCCTTGCCTAGACTGGCCAGGACCCTTACAGGAGTCAGGGAGACCCTGTGCCGAGTGAGACCTGTCTTAGGGGTCCTTCTATTCTAGGGACTGTGAGTGGTCTGTAGTCCTTTCAGAGAGAGGGCTGCTGTCTTCTGAAGCTTCAGAGACCTTCCCAATGCCATGCCTCAGCCTTGGGATCTGACTTACACATATGGCTTTTAAGTGCCAACTGTGTGCCCAGCTAGCGGGGGCACCTAGGTGAGGAGCTCACAGGGTGACAGAGCCTTTGCCATGACGAATGCAGTAGGCTGTGTATTTCAGGGAGGGAAGGAAACACCAGGCTACAAGGTCTTACCTGGGAAGTCAGGGAGGACTTCCCATAGGAGGTGGAGACTGAGCTGGATGATGATGGACTCAGGACACTGGGTGAGGAGAACCCCAGATAGAGCCTATGTTGGAGCCTGGCCCTGCAAGGCAGGTGGGCTGTGAGGCTATAATGCTGGGCTCTACAGCTTGCATTTCTTTCCCAGAGCTGACTTGTATCCCCATAGAAGCCTCTGCAGAGCACCTAGTCTCAGTGCTTCTTTTCCTCATCTGTAAAATGGGGATAGCAATAGTGTCTATGTTATGGCATGGAGTAGCATTGGGCATACCCAAGAGTGGTGTTACAGAATAGAAAGAGAGAAGTCAAGCTGACTAGAGAAGAGGAGAAAAGCCCAAGCATTTTGGCTTTCCAGGATGGGAGAGATGATGGACAAGATTGTGAAAAAGACCAGTTCAGTCTTCCGGGAGAATGATGCTGGGCCATGGGTCAGAGGGGAAGGATCTGTGGGCCTTTTCAAAGGCCTCGGTGACCCAAAATAGATATAATACCTGTTCTTGGGTGGGTGGGTGGGACTCAGGATCCTGAGCTGATGGTGGAGTCTTTGGCTTCAGCAGCAGAAACAAGAGGAAGCAAGAGGGTGGGGGAGAGATATGACTGCTTATCCCAGGGCCAAACACTGTGTACCACCACTGCCAACAGGGTACGTGGATATAGGGCTGATCCCAGCCGGAGCCCGAGAGATCCTCATTAAGGAGGTGGCTGAGGCTGCCAACTTCCTGGCCCTGCGGAGTGAGGACCCAGATAAGTACTTCCTCAATGGCGGCTGGACCATCCAGTGGAATGGGGACTACCAGGTGGCGGGGACTACATTCACCTATGCACGTACAGGCAACTGGGAGAACCTCACATCCCCAGGCCCCACCAGTGAGCCTGTCTGGATCCAGGTACCTGTCTCTCGAGGTCATAATGGGAGGAATTAACTGGGGTGGTCCCCAAGGTAGGAAATACAGGGGAAACCTTAGGGCTGCCATAGGGTATGGTTCTGGACCAGGCTCAGCTGCTAGGGCCTCTGAGCCTCTGCCTCAGTTTTCCCATCTCTAGAGTAGGTCTCCAGTACAGCTGAGTTCGCAGAGGTGGCTGGGGATGACCTTAGGCGCAGGTGCTGGGCAGATGGAGAAGGGGTCCCTGGGCTCACAGGCCCCGTTTGCCGGTTCCAGCTGCTGTTCCAGGAGAGCAACCCTGGGGTGCACTACGAGTATACCATCCACAGGGACGAAGTCCAGCCACCCGAGTTCTCTTGGCACTATGGGCCCTGGAGCAAGTGCACTGTCACTTGTGGCACAGGTGAGACTCACACTTGCCGAGCCCTAGGCTGAGCTTGCTTGTGCGTGATCACGTGTAGTGGTCACCCCAGGGCTTTAAAGTGGGTCTGGTTATTTACTTCCGTTTTATAGAGCTGCAAGTCCTAAGCCACTGGCAAGAAGCAGCGGGGTGGGCCACTGGAGTGTGTCGTGGAGGGAGGGCCGGGAGGGCAGTGAGAGGAAGTCATGGAGGCCTGCTTTCACCCTGACAGAGGCAGCGGAACCCTGTTCTGTGAGGGTCTGGGCAGAGCCGATGTGTGTGTGTGTGTGTCTTTTGAGGCACCCTGGTGCCTGCCAGGCCCAGGCTGAATCCCCATGGCTTCCAGGTGTGCAGAGGCAGAGCTTGTATTGCATGGAGAGGCAGGCTGGACTTGTGGATGAGGGACACTGTGAACATCTGAACCGGCCCGATGACCGCCAGAGGAAGTGCAGTGAGGAGCCCTGTCCCGCCAGGTAAGCTTACTGTCCCCAGCCAGACTTCCAGTTCCTAGGTGTCCTGCTGCTCCTGCCTCTGCCTCCGGACCCCGGTAGCTCTGGAGAAGAAAGCTACTGCTTGGGGCCTCTTTTCCCAAGTCAGAGGCATCAATCAACCCATGGACCTAGCTTGGCCCTGGAGTGCACTGGGGCAGCTGGTGCCAGTATCAACATTCTTGATCATTCCTTGTCCGGGCCCCCCGGGGTGAAGGTGGTGGGACTGAGGGGCAGGGGACCAACCTGGGGCTTGGGTCTCTGGGGATTATTCGCCATTCAGCCCTGCCTGAACCCGAATGGCCCGAAGTTATGTCGTGGCCACCTTTGCTCATGAACCTTGCTCATGATGGGTGCTAATGTCACACTCTCACCACATGTGCCCCTTCCCAGGTGGTGGGCAGGGGAGTGGCAGCTGTGTTCCCGATCCTGTGGACCTGGAGGTGTTTCTCGCCGGGCTGTGCTCTGCATACGCAGTGTAGGGCTGGATGAGCAGCGAGCCTTGGGACCACCTGCCTGTGAACATCTTCCTCGTCCCATGGCTGAAACGCCATGCAACCAGCATGTGACCTGTCCTGCCACCTGGGGTGTGGGGAACTGGTCCCAGGTAAGTGTAAGGAGGAAAGGAGACCTGACTTTGGTACCACCATTGCCTTAGATAACAGTTTGTTACCTGGGGTGGGAGGGAGTCTGGGGCATTCCTGGGACAACACTGTTCACAGAAGCCTTGGGGATCAGGAGTTCCCAGACATGCTGACTATCATCTTGAACTAAGCATGACCATAGAGGGCTGGCTGAGACCTCTATCACTAGGAAACCAGCCATAGGCAGGTTCTGCCACCATGCCCCAGCTTCCCCAGAAGCCCCATCCTGGCTTGAGCTGTGACCTCCTTTGCAGTGCTCTGTGACATGTGGAGCCGGCATCCGGCAACGAAGTGTCCTCTGCATCAATAATACCGAGGTCCCCTGCGACGAAGCTGAGCGACCAGTGACTGAGGCCGCTTGTCTTCTGCCTCCCTGCCCATGCCCCATGTACATGACTGGCATAGACGGCTCTGGCAGTGGTTCCTCCAGTCCTGAGCTCTTCAATGAGGTTGACTTCATCCCACACCGGCCGGCCCCACGCCCTTCACCGGCATCCTCACCCAGGCCAGTCAGCATCAGCAACGCCATTGATGAGGAGGATCTGGAACTGGATCCGCCGGGGCCTGTGTTTGTGGATGACTTCTATTATGACTACAATTTCATTAACTTCCATGAAGACCTGTCTTATGGGCCCTTTGAGGAACCCCATCCAGACCCGGCTGATACAGGGGGTTGGACGGCACCACCCCACATCAGACCCACTGAACCTACCTCAGATACTCCAGTGCCTACTGCCGGGACTTCCGGAGTTAAGGAAGAGGGGGTCCGGGGAGCTTGGTCCCCTAGCCCTTCACTCGGCCAGGCTAGCCATTCCCCACCTATATTCTTAGAGCAGACCCCTGTGAATCCCTTGGCCAATTTCTTGTCTGAGGAAGATACTCCCATGGAGGCCCCCGAAGTTGGGCTCCCCAGCTTGCTCTGGCCCCCTGCTTCAGCTGATGACATGGTGACACCTGTTGCCCCTGGAAACCCTGATGAGTTACTAGTGAGGGAAGACAGGCAGGGCCAGCCACCCACTCCATGGTCTGACCAGAACAAAGTTTCCAAAGATGAGAACACCTTGGGTCATACGTCACCAGCTCTGTCCCAAAGCCCTATCCCCACACAGCCCTCTTCACCCTCCATCAGTACTACTCAAGCCTCTCCTGGTCCTGGTCTGGTGGAGGTGTGGACAGGAGGGCCTGTGGTCTGGGACCCAGTGTTGGAGGATGACCTAAAGCCTGTGCATGGTGAGCTGTGGCCCAGTGTAGAGGTGGCTCCTCCTCTCCTTCCTCCCGTGGCCACTGTGCCAGGCATCTGGGACAGGGGCAGCCCCCTGGAGCCAGGGATTCCAACCCCAGGACCGGGCTCACAGAACCTGAAAACTCTGGCATTTCCAGGGACCTTCCTTGTGACAGCACCAACTGATCTAAGGAGCGTGGGACCGATGGACCAGCCACAGCCTCCTCACCTTGAAGGGACCCTCAGCCCTCTGCTGCAGCCTAAACCAGCTCAGGAGACTCATGCTAACAGCAGTGAGGACCCTGAGGTCCAGCCTTTGCAGCCCAGCCTAGTGGAGGATGGCTCCCCTACAGATCCACTGCTTGCCAAGAATGCCAGTTGGCAAGTGGGCAACTGGAGCCAGGTGAGTGGCAGAGCACCCAGGATGGTGGGAAGTTTGAGCTGCCGGACCCTGGGACTCAGTTTTAAGCAAAGCAAGACCCAGCTGTGTTCATCCTGCCTCCCTTGGAGAACAGCATAATGGTTCCTGGGATTGGCTGACAGACAGCCATGGTGGGCCGTGGCTCCCCGAGGCAGAAAGAGTATTATCCCAGCTCCCGTGTAGCCCTGAGGCTAGTCTGTCTCTCCCACTGGGCCTCAGTTTCTCAACTGTGAAGTGGAAGTGAAGTGAGGGGCCCCGTCTGCTGGAGTTTTTGAGTCCTCGGAGGGTCGTTCCTAGGCCACATGCAGGGCTTCAGAAAAGTCAGTAACTATAAATCAAGTGCAGCTGGGAGGAATGTCCTCAAACTGACCTGCATGCCCCAGAAATGGAGATGTCACATTAGCAAGGGTAAGGAAGGCCTCCTTCCATGGATTCCAGACCCAGCGCTGCCTGGGAGGGCTTGGCTAAGGATTTAGCTGAGACACAGCCAGGCTCCTCCAGATGCTTTGCCCTTTGTCACCCTTCAAAGTCTCCCCCTCTTTTGTTAGGGATCCCATAATAGTCTGAGTTGTATGGAAAAAAGATGACCTGTACCCCTTCTCTAGATTCTCATTGTGAGAGATCCATAATCTGGGGTGGAGAGAGACAGGCTGAATTCCTACTCATTTAGCTGCTTGGATTAGGGCCCAGACTTCCCTGGTTAGTGAGAAGCCACAGGATGGCCGGGTAGGTAGGTGGGTCTACGTGGCTCTTGGGAGCAGGGATAGTTAACTGCTGGTGACATTTGACTTGTTCTTTCACAGTCTCCGTGGGAGGTGGGTGGAGGCAGATAAAGATGTGGGGCCATCTTCGGTGGGGCTGGCCGGGTGAGGGTCTGCTGGGCTTACAGACAGCGTCTCTGGCCCACAGTGTTCCACCACTTGTGGTCTGGGCGCCATCTGGAGGCTGGTGCGCTGCAGCTCTGGCCGTGATGAGGACTGCACCCTTTCTAGCCGGCCCCAGCCAGCTCGCCATTGTCACCTGAGGCCCTGTGCTGCCTGGCGCATGGGCAACTGGAGTAAGGTGAGGAAGGAGGGAGCCCTGGGTCTCATGGCCGTGGTTTGGAGATGGGCAGGGCACGGTGAGCGCCATGCCACCGTCTGCATCCTGATCCTGTCTGTCCTCATCTCCCCGGGCCCTGCTCATGCTGCTGACCTTCCTCTCCAGTCCTACCACCCACCATTGGCTCACCCTAATTCCATGTGTCCTGTCCTCTGGGGTTGTCACCTGTCTTCTAGGTGTCTGAGTCTTCTAGGGTTCTTGGGCTCAGGCTGGAAGGTCTACCCCCTGCTGTACCATAAACCTCACTGGGTCATATTGCATGCATGGGTTTAGACTGTGTCTACACCTTTGGTCTCCAGTGCTCTCGCAACTGTGGTGGAGGTTCCTCCACAAGGGATGTACAGTGTGTGGACAAGCGGGACCTCCGGCCGCTGCGGCCCTTCCACTGCCAGCCTGGGCCTACCAAGCCACCCACCCGTCAGCTTTGTGGGACCCAGCCCTGCCTCAGCTGGTATACCTCTTCCTGGAGAGAGGTGAAGCCTGGGTCTTGGGGGGTAGGGACTGGGGACACCCTCAGACCCTGGCTGTACTCGATGCCTCCCTGTTCTTCCAGTGTTCCGAGGCCTGTGGCGGTGGCGAACAGCAGCGTCTGGTGACATGCCCAGAGCCAGGCCTCTGTGAGGAGTCGCTGAGACCCAACAGCACCAGGCCCTGCAACACCCACCCATGCACGCAGTGGGTGGTGGGGCCCTGGGGTCAGGTGAGCGGGGTTCCTTGGGGAGGAAGTGGGATCAATCCTTGGCAGATAGCTCCTGGCCCTTAGGCTTCGAAGGATGGGTTGTAGGGTGTGCTGTGTGCTGGTCTCTCTCTGGCCACCAAACATACAGTAGTGACCAGATGAAGTCCTTGTACTTTGCCAGGGAAAATCAGATAGAGGAAAAATTGCTATGTGGGGTAAATCTTCTGAGGAGGAGACTTTGGATGGATACCTAAAGGAGTCAGTCAGCGATGCCAAGGAAGGGATGATGAGAATAGCAAGTGCTGAGCCCTAAAGCAGGAATGATGGGGGGGGTACTTGGGGGAGGTGGCACAAGGACAAGTGTGGCAGAAGCGGAGTGGAGAGGGGCCCCCAAGGGCAGGGCAGCTCTCTGCTGGGCCTGCTGGGAGCTGATTGGTTCAGGAGCCTCAGTGATTCCTCGATCTACTGGCTGCTGAATGACGGGGGCAGGAGCTTGGCCCTGTGGGGCCGTTTTCTTTTCACCTTTAAATTGGGGGCAGCCTAGAGGAGCAGGGAAAGAATTAAATGAAGAACATGGAGCCTGTATCGTGCCAGCGCAAGTTAAATCTGAGAGCAGGCTGACTCGGGGTGGGGACCCTGGCTGAGACCCTCTGCTGCCCATGGCTTGCAGCCCTTCTCCTGTGTCTTTTGGGCACTGTGGTCTCCCCCCAGTGTCTGCCTTCTCTGCCCAGGCCTCTTGGGTGAGTTTTGCATTCCTTCTTACTTTCGTCTTGCCCTCGCTGCTGCAAGGGGGGGTGCCTCCGGTGACAGTGGGGTTCAGCACTATGCTCTACTGGGTCCCCGACTGTGGTGGCCGGTCCTGGGGACGTTCTGTCCTCTCTCTCCTGTGCAGTGCTCAGCCCCCTGCGGAGGTGGAGTTCAGCGTCGTTTGGTCAAGTGTGTGAACACTCAGACAGGCTTGGCAGAGGAAGACAGTGACCAGTGTGGCCACGAGGCCTGGCCTGAGAGCTCACGGCCATGTGCCACTGAGGACTGTGAGCTGGTTGAGCCCCCACGTGAGTGTCTCCTTACCCCTTGGGGATGGTGGGGGAGGGGGAGAAGGAGGGCTGGGACCTGGAGACTCATCCAGATGTCAGTCCCATAACAGCTGCTGTTCTATTTACAGTTCGCTCAAACCACATGGTCACCGTAACTGGGAGGCCACAGGGTGCCAAGGTCCCAAACTGGGAATCAGCCAGGGGGAATCCCAGCCACCCAAGCATCCTTGCAGGCAGCTTCTGTAGCCTCGGGGAGTTGAAGGAGCCCCCTGACCTCTCAGCTGCGGAAAGCTTTTCTCCCTTGGGGTCTTAGTTCCCACAGTGAGGCGAGGATGGCCTTGGGCTCTGGGCACTGCCTATTCCTCAGAGGATAACTGCCTGCAGTGAGCAGTGGAGCCCCAGGAAAGACTCCCTCCCAGGGTCCTGCTGCTGCTGCTGCTGCTGCTGCCGCCGCCGCCGCTGCTGCTGCCGCCGCCTATGGGCTTCCTGGCCAGCTGGGCCAGTATGGAGCAAAGGTCTGAGCCAGAGGTGGCTCTGAAAACCACCTCCTTCCTGAGGCTCCAGCTGTCCCCAGCAGTGAGAAACACAGGAAACAGTATGGCTCTTGAGTCACATCTGGGCACCCATTCACCAGCTGCGTAGTCTTGGGCTCTATTTCCCTATCTGGATTGTCATTTCCTCTTGCATAAAGGGGCTGGCAACCCTTATTTGGTATTGGTGGGGTCTGAGGGTGAAGGGCTCAGTACTGCCAGGGCCCCTGCTTAGCACAGGCTAGGCCATTTTACCCTCCCCCCTTCCAGCAGCCATTATTGTCCTCCATACAAAGGCAGGGGAGTCTGAGGCCACCTCTGACACTTGAGGGAACCCAGGAGCTTGGCATTTACCTACGGGGTTGCCGCACCTATCCCCAGGACAGTTGGTGGGTGTCGGCCCTCATCTGCCTCTCCCTGCTCTGCACAGCCTTCACTACCAGCAGCTGGCTCCCGTGGTACAGGCTCAGGACCCGAGTAGTTACTGCTGTGCCATTCTGTCCTGAATCCCATTGCCTCAAGGTGCTGAGGAAATGCTAGCCTGGGTTTGTCAAGCCATCCCTGCTTGTCTTGCTCTCATCAATTCCCCGGATCTATCCCTCTGAGACACTTCAGCACAGCTATGCTGGGTGCTGTACCACAGTGCTTGCCTTCGGGGCTGACGGTGCCCATGGCTCTTCTGTGTCTCGTGCCACGCTCAGGGGTGGCAGGGACTATGGTCCCAGATGGTGCAGAGTAGGAACCGAAGCTCTACCAGAAATAGTGTGGCTTAGCAGACTGTGGCCTTGGAAGGTCTCCCAGGGGGATGGTGAGGGTGGGCTCAGCAGGGACCCGTGGAGGTCGCTAGGCTGCTACACAATGCTCACCCACATGAAGAATTTCTTGCCCCTAGTGAAGGGAGCCAATCAAGGAAGCATCTTGGATCCCAAGCTCCTGGCTGGAGCTTCCAGGATGTTTTGATGGCTTGTGGGATTGTATGACAGGACATTTGGAAATTCTGGAAACTCCAGGGTGTGTGATCACCGTGGCAAAACAGCTGACATGCCTAGTCATGTGGCCTTCCCCATGGAGGTGGGGGCTGTTATCAAGAGGAAACCTTCCCCCAAGTGGTTAGGCCTGCCTGAGGTCGTTCAGGGGAACTAGTGTGCAGGCTGATGGAGTTTGCAATTGCTGCCTGAAAGGTAGGGTGGGGAGCCTTTCTGTTGCCCTCTGCCACACCTGGGGATGTCCCAGACCAGGGCTCAGCTGTTCGCCTGTTCTTCCTCCCCAGGGAGTCTGCTGAAGTAAGCAGGGGTCTGGGCAGCTGTGGCTTCAGCAGCAGCAGCAGCAACAGCAAGGCAGTAGCACTGGGAGAGAAGCCAAGGGTCTGGAAGCAAGCCACTTCCCAAAATAGCTTTCCCAGGAGAGCCAGCCAAGCCTCAGCTCCTGACAGTCAGGGCTTGAAGAGTCACCCTCTCCTGTGCCGTCACCAGAGGTTACACCCAGCCTTAGGTGCCTACTGATGACCTTTGTGGCCCTGGCCCAGTCCCATTTTCTGAACTTCATGACCCAACAAAATGGGTGGCTATCCTGCCACACAAAAGTTGAGGATGAATACGGCCCACATTGGGGGGGGGCGGAGCAGCGGGGGGCAGGGTGGTGTGGTGCAGTGGTAGCCACAGAGGCATGTGGCACTCTACAGAAGGTGGCAGGGAGGTGGAGTGGATGCATATTGGCACAGGTGCATGAGATAAAGTTGTGGGCCTGGTCCTGTCGGGTACCATGATTGAGCAGGGATGAAGATGGTACTCGAAGGCTTGCATCACTCCTGGGCAGGCTCCTGGGCATCTCATGGCCTCCCGAGGTGCTCAAGGATGGGGTCTCGGAACCTTTCTTCCAGAAAGTTAAGTCCAACGGTGTCAGTAGTCCAAGGGCAGGTGAGGCGGGGACAATAGCTAAGGACTTGGGGTTCTGATTCTGGGGACCTCCTTCAGAAACTGGGTCTCCTGCCGGCTGCTAGTCTTCTTAAGGCGAAGGGGTGTTTATTTGGGTTCACAATATATCACCACTTCTTCTTGAGGTGAGGGGGGTCTTTCAGCTCAATTTACTGGGTGATGAAGTGTGGTTCTGGGTGTCATGCCCACTGATTTCTAACCATCTCCCCGCACCCCTTCTCATCTCTTCCCATTCCCAGGTTGCGAGCGGGATCGCCTGTCCTTTGGTTTCTGTGAGACATTGCGCCTGCTGGGCCGCTGCCAGCTGCCCACCATCCGTGCTCAGTGCTGCCGCTCATGTCCCCCACTCAGCCGTGGTGTCCCTTCCCGGGGCCATCAGCGGGTGGCCAGACGCTGAACAGAGGCCTGGCCTCCACCAATGCACATCAGAATGCACAGACAAACTGACCCATGACACACAGACCTCAGCGCCCCACCACAGGCTACGGTGGAGCCCTGCTCCTCCTGCCTTCATGGTGCTAACCCCATCCCTGTGCAATGGCAGGCTGGGGACCCCCCCCTTCCTCTCAGAAAAGGTATTTTTTTATTCTAACAGTTTGCACATTTGTTATTGTTTTACATAAATGAATATCTACCCTTTCAAAGCTGTTGTTCGAATTTCTGACGGTCTTATAATAAAAAAAAAAAACAACCCAGAGCCAGGTATCAGGGTGAAAGCTGAAAGATCAGAGAAGCAGAGCAAGCCATAACCACCACATATTACCTCACCAACTGCACGCATCCTCAGACTGAAATCCTTTGCGTCTTCACCCGAAAGGGTCTCAACTGAACTGCTTTAGTTCCTGTTTCCTCACGCCTTACATACCTTTCTCTGCCCTGTCGTCACTTCCTGGGATGAAAGGCACGTGTGCTTCCCAGTACTGGGATTAAAAGCGTGTGCCACCACTGCCTGGCTCCGTTTCCAGGGTGGCCTTGAACTCACAGAGATCCAGACGGATCTCTGCCTGTAACTGACAGGATTAAGGGTGTGTGCCACCACTGTCTGGCCTCTATGTCTAGTGGCTGACTCTGTCCTCTGATCCTCAGGCAAGTTTACTCGGGTTCACAATATATCACCACACAAAGCAGCTTGGCCTTGCCTTGGATTGGGAGGACCTCCAACATGACCTCTACCTACCTCTCTTATCAGATGGCTACTACCCTGTCCCTTGTGGGGGCCTCAGCAGACAGCAGCTTCTCTGTTCCTATGGGGGCAGATCAGCAGGGCCAGCACAGAGGCCATGCAAAGATGCCTAATGTAGACGTGGAAGCTCCTGAGGTGGGTGGAGATGGCACATATGTCTACAGAGGCTTACACAGCAGGAGCAGCAAGGTCTTTGCAGGGGGGCACAGGTTGGCAGAGGCCCAGGGAGTCCTGTTCCCTGCCCCCACTCATTCCACACCCCTGCCCACTATCTCCCGTTAAGGTCCTCAGAGACCTGGGTTTCACAGAGATGGAGCCAGATGCACTCATGCACCTGAGGCTGTCTTGTCTCTCACGGGGACTACCTGTGGCATGACAGCGGGCACCTGCCAGGTCTGCTACTTGAGAGCAGCCGGGCATGCAGGTACTTTGAAGAGGGTTCTGGACCCTGGTCAGTGACAGGGATAATTAGGCCTTCTTCTCAGCCTTGGCCCCTGTCTGACCCTTCCTTCTGGCTGTGAGTCATCTTCTGGGAGGCATTACTGCTCTCCCTCAAGTTTGAGACACAGGAGTTGTAAAAAAAAAAAAAAAAAAGGGCACTTGTCACATTTTATTCTCCAGAGTGAGGCGTATGTGGAAGCATGGAGGGATCTGATCACCGAGAATGTGGGTACAGTGGAAGTCACTGCCTGGGACCAGGAAGCGGTGTCACAGGGTGGAACCAGTCAGTGCTGTGCCTGTCCCAGGACTTGCTCTACCTGGGAGTGGGGTGGGGGTGTGGGGTGTGAGGTGGAGCAGGGGCTATTGCTCTCAGGAGTAAAGGTTTTCGTCTAGCTCTGGGTTTCCTGTTCTCCCACCATCTCATCCTGAACATGAGCAGGTGAGAAGTTCACAGTGGAGGGGGTGACTGGAGATACAGGCCCAGTAGAGACGCTGGGCTCCAGGCAGGTCCTATACGTGGCCTGGCCAAATTTAGGCAGTCTACCAGGTTACTCAGGAAAGCAAGTCACTGGTGGCCTGTGTGCATCCAAGCACTACCATGCTGAGGGTGGAGAAGCATTGGGTTTGCTTCCTGCCTGTGTCTGCAGCAGCCCTGTGGGCCCAAAGAGGCCCTGGAGACCCACAGTCTGAGTAATGGCTTCCTACAACCTTGCCCAATCCACTGCCCATGGCAACTCCTCACAAAGATGGGAACAGAGACCCATACACAGCAGGGCTTGGCACTGTGGTAGAGACCTAGGGTCCCTGACCCAGCCCTGGCCTCTGCCATTACTATAGAGCTGTGGGACCTCGGGAGCCCCCCAGCCTTACTGAATAAATCCGTGTCTCTGAAAGAGCAGCAGCTTACCAGGTCCAGGCCTACACTGATGAGTCCTGCCCCCCTCTGCCCCCTCCCCCACCTCATGGAAAGACATTTGGTCCTAATCATTCTTGTGTTTTTCCAGAGATGGCTGGGGGAGTCCCTAGCGTCAGCTGGGCCTGAGCTGTCTGCCCAGCCAGGAGGCAAACAAACCATGACTCAGGCTGGGCACGCACAGCTGGTGCGAGAGGGTACCTGTCTCCCAAGGGGTGGGGGTGGGGGGGTGGTGGTAAGGACTGCTCCAAACACAGGCAGCATCTCACTATGACCCCAACCTCTGCCCTCAGCTCTTGCCCATAGTTCAGTTCTGGCACTCAGGTCTATCAGTGTTGAGAAGGGCATCCTGTCCCTCCTATCCCAATGGAACCAAGGGCAGGGACCTAAGAATCAGCAAGCTGGCAGAATGGACAGCACCCCATCCCTATAATGCACACCCCATGCTCCAAGCCCATGCAGAGGCCTCCATCACAAATGACTGCAACTACCTTTCAAGGCAGAATGTAATACAAATTAGTTTATTTCTCCCTTTACAAGTCTAACATTGAACTCGAAGATCAGCACAAAAGCTGCTGTGATACGTAAGGACGGTCACTGGTAGTGTGCCCTCAAGTCTTCCAGTTGCCCACAGGGGAAGGACCTCACACACTGGGCACGCATCCAGCCTCTATCTTCAAGGACTTCCCTGAACAGGCCCACCAAGAGGCGGGTGGGTCAGGAAGACAGCACTGTACAGAGTGAGGGGGGCGTGTGCAGTCACAGATAACAAAACCTGACTGGGTGCTACCTAGAGGACTTCCTGTATCAACACAACACAGCTAACGCCAGAGAGGTAAACAGCGACCAGCTACTGTTCAGCTGTCACCATGGCTATGCGCAGCACCAGAGGCTACCTGGGTGAGCGGAAGTGAGGGATGGCCGAGGCTGAGGGGAGAAGGCGGAACAGGAGGGAACTGTGATTTGGAAGGCTCAGGTTGATATAAATACATACAAGGGAGTTGTGCACACAAAATAGAACTTGTTATATAAAAGTCGTACAGAATCTAGAAAAACCTTAATAAAATAAGTCTATAAAAATATAAAATGTAGTGAAAATATAAAAGTATTAACAGTTGAAATATTGGTAAGTCCCATCAGATGGGGCACTGAGGGCAGGGTAACCCCCCTCCCCGCCCCCACTGTGGCATGTGCATGTGGACCCACATGCTGGAGGCTATGCTTTGGGTTTCTCAGCCCACAAGGATCACCAGGCAGGAGCCACGGGTTGCATGCTGGGTAAAGGTTCAAAAAAACAGCAGCTGCATGAGGCGGACCGACATTAGGGGTTCCTGCCACGGTGGCCGGTGTAAGTCTGGAACCTCAGGGGCACTGGGGGGTAAAGACAGGTCTCAGTGACGAGAGAATGGGAGGTGATGGCTCAAGTCTCTGGAGTTCTGCCTGGGGAGGAGCCTGCGTCATTCTGCCCCCAAACCCGAGGGCAGGCAACTCTGCCTTCTCAGCTCTGCGGACACTGAACCCTTTATTCCAGGGAGGAGAGCCTGCAGGGGTACATTTCTGAGTTCTCTTGCGACTTTACCTGACCACTGACGCTAACTGGGAAACCGATGCTGCCTCTCGGGAATGGCAGGACAGCATACCGGGGATTTCTTCTTCTTTGCATTGCTGAGATGGAGCCCAGAGCCTCACATGCCAGGCACACATTCTACCACTGAGCTATGTCCCCAGTATTACCAGATACTTTTAAGATGCCTTTACTGGACACACAGGACAAAAGCAGGCCAGTGCCAAAAGAGCATTTATGCTGAAAACGTATTTGGATGGACTGGCATCTTCTAGTGGGAAACCGACGTGGCGACTGAAATCAAGGCAACTGGAACTGAGCCATGGGGCTCCAACCCCATCCTACTGCACCTCCTTAGCAGCTGTCCCCAAGGCTGACAGCCATCATTACACAGGGGGTGGGCATTTTCCCGGCATTTGGCTTCAGGGAGGCCCTGAGAACAGCAGTGAGACCCCTGTCCAGCTCAGACAGCTTCCTGAAGAAGCCGCGCCTTAAACCACCATCCTAAAGATACAATGCTGACATTTTTTTATACCTGAAAAGAGACAAAGGTTATTGGCTAAATACAGAGACCAGCTCCTTTTACATGGTAATAAACGAAGTAACTTTTAGAGAAGTTGAGCACAGGCTAGATGCTGAAAAACCGACTCAGCCATTCAAGTGCTAGAAAGCAGATAGCAAAAACAGGAAAACCGGTCATGGAAAAAGCACTTCTCACAACTGCCTTGCTCCAATTCTTAGTCTGAGTGTGTTTATACTAGCTAAGGATTGTTTCCGATCTTTTTCCAGGTAGTGTAAGATAGGCCGCTTAAGGCTGTTTCCCTTGTGTTCCGATAATACTGTTAGAAAATGTTTTCTCATGACAGTCACTCATCAGGGATGCTTAGGACTGAGCAAAAATAACCTCCCTTGTCCAGACCCTCCCTGGGCTTCAAGAAGGAAGTGTTCCAAGTCCCCAGAGTCCACTATGCCAGAGGCCACAGTGAGCCCAGCTCCCTGCTGAGGACAAGGATGACAAAGACTGGGAGAGCTCATCACTCCTGTCCTCCAGCAGAGGTGCTTCCAGATCTAGGAAGCTGGCAGTTAGCCTCACTCCCCACCCAGCCTCTGGGCACAAGAACTATCAGAACCCTGGCCACTGCCACCCAGGAGGCCACCAGCCACAGCACTGCCATACGAGAAAGTTTCCCACGTTTCCTCATGCAGGGGCGGCTGCAAGGCTCATTTGGAACCCCGATCCGGCCACACTTGGAGAATGGCATCTCCAAGTCACCTCCCAA